TAATGAGAAACTGTTTAACTCATCCATTTGCGAAGCATTCGCAAGGCAGAACTGCGGGCAAAAACAGCAGTTAACAAACAAAACAAAGTCAAAAATGGGAAACTGCCTGAACCAGCTTGTGAGAAGTCAAGCGAGTTCATGTGGATAGGCGTTATAGCAATGAGCTGCTGTGATGTGCCTCTTGGGCTATTCTGTACAGGAAAACCTTCCTCTTTACTCTAGTGCATTTTCCATTGCGATCACGCTGACAATAGCGATACACAGCTACAAGAAGGATGTTACCGTATATGTATGTCTGTAAGACCCATTCTTGTCTTACTCAATGGGATTTCGACAGAAGTGTCGTGACTACCTTACGACTTCAATTAAAGGGTCGCGCCTGGTCGGGTGTGCGCGGGTCCTGGCGCACCCGTGCCATCGAAGTCTCTCGAAAGAACGCAGAGAAGCAGAGTGCCGGCGCCTCTCCCTGCCTTCAATCTATTAGGTGTTTCAGAAAGTTCTGTCGTTTTCTGACACTCCACATTTGGATGCTTTCATTTCCTTGAAATCTAGAGAAAGCTGCAATCGGTATGGATATCATTTTGAAGAGCTTTTCCTGCTCTATCCAACGCTTAGCTCAGCTTTGTCCTAAAACATTTTCTTATAGCTTTTTCAAAGCTTTGAATGCGGTATACTCGATGAGCAAGTTGGCATGACTTTCTTTTTCTAGCTTTAAATAGACCTGAAAGTAGCGGGAACAGTTCAAGATATTAACGATGCATTTGGCCTAGATTCGCAATAAATGTGCTCAAAAGCAGAAGTTCAAAAGGGATATCATAAGAGCGGTGGTCGGATATCGGACGTTGCCACCGACTAGCCAAAAGTTCTGATTGAGGCACTCGTGCGTAGACCATTGAGGAGGTTCTGCCCAACCTGGACGTATATGGTTTGTGGAGCCAAGTTATACGGAAGTAGTTGGAAAATCCAAAAAATTTGATAGGGGCGTGCCGCGACAAAGCCCCGGAAGGTCGTTCCTCAATTTCTACCTTGTTTTATGTGATGTAGCGACTCGCCTTTCTACTAATTTGCGACGTACAATGAAGAAGGGATTATTTTCTACAGCCCACGAAGCTTTGCTGAATAGCTCGACGGCGATCAAGCTCTACAAACTTTTCAAAACTTAAACTGTGCTGAAGGAGGGTTATGGCAACTTTCATCAAGTCAGCGGCTGGCCAAGTTCCCCCGTATCAGGTGGAACTGTGGAGGAGAACTCTTAACATTATGTCAAAATTCACCAAAATCTTCAAAATACGGGTTCAGCATTTCTCATTATAAAGGGACGGACACATCTCTGACAGTTGTCCTACACGCATATCGCACAACCAACCCTGCACAAGTTGGTCCAGCTAGGCTAAGAAGGGGTGCTGCAGATATCCTACTCAGTATACCTATACCTCCGGGCATGGATGCCCGTCGATGGACATCAGAACCGAGCTACGTCACCCCCAGCGTAAGGAATACTACTGGGTTCGACTCGTGAGTTTAGTTGTAGTAGCCGTACAATGTTGTAGTTATTTCTTTCTGTCGTAGTTGAATAGTTATATGAATCTATGTCTATGTCTATTCTCCTTGTCGTGTATATCGTAAGCGGTTCGACCGCATAGTACTATCTCTTTATCAACATGATCGCTATGTTTATAATTGATGCAATGCCCGTGGCTGGTCGTTCTATCGTAGGATATAATACAAGGGAATAGTAACATCACGGCGTACCCATGGGATGTGGTTCGTAGTCAATCGTGGCGTATTACAGTCGGGGCTGCTTAGGCCTATTGGGAGTCCGCGTGGCACAGTGGCGAGCAGCGAGCGCGGCGTAAGTCCCCGGCAACCCTCACGCCGACACCGACGCCGCTCCTAAGCAGGGTTGACCCCTCTTTAGCTTATGCGAGGAGCAAGGCGTCGTGCCGGCGCGGCAAGAAGAATATTGAGACTTTTTCATCCACTGCATTTTTATTA